CTAAAGATGAGATTTTTATACTGACACAGGTTAAGAGATGATGAGATGTGAATTAGGGAAGATACAAAGTGTAATGATAAGTCCACAAAGATTTTAAGCAAGGCCTGGCATGGTATAATTTTCCTTTTTAAATGGTCTTTGGCTGCAGTATAAAGAGTGGATTATAAAGGGCCAAGATTCATCACAGAGACTCATTAGGAGGCTTTTGTAGTCTAGATAAAAGATGTTGTTGTTCTTGTGTACTATTGAGTTGATTTCAACTCATAGCGATCTATAGGACAGAACAGAAACTGCCTCATAGGGTTTCCTAGGCTGTAATCTTTACGGGAGCAGATCGTGTGGTCTTTGCTCCCATGGAGCAACTGGCTAGATTCGAACTGCTGATCTTTTTGTTAGCAACTGAGAATATAACCATTTTGCCACTAGGGCTCCTTAGATAGAAGATAATGGTAATTTAAATAAGAGCAGTCACAGGGGAAAATAAAAAGTGTAGGGAGTAAGACATATTTTGTAGGTTGACAGGATTTGCTAAATAATGGATGTGAAGGATGAGGGAAGGATTGAATCCAGGATAACTTCTCGGTTTCTGACCTACATATAGGATGGGTGGCAGTAACATTTATTGAGATAGACAACGCATGGGGGAGGAAACAGTCTGTGAGTAGATAATATGGTTTCTGTTTTTGGGCATATTTTGTTTGAGATGCCTGTGAGACATGTAAGTGGACATGTCCAATGTTGTTGTTTGGTGCCATCAAGTCAGTTATGAGTCATAATGACCTTATGTACAACAGAACAAAACACTGCATGGTTCTGCACCATCTTTACAATCGTTATTATGCTTGAGCCCATGGTTGCAGCCACTGTATCAATCCATCTCCTTGAGGGTCTTCCTTTTTTTTGCTGACCCTCTACTTTACCAAGCATGATGTTATTCTCCAGGGACTGATCCTTCCTGATAACATGTCCCAAGTATGTGAGACAAAATCTCGCCAGCCTTGCTTCTAAGGAGCATTCTGGCTGTACTTCTTCCAAGACAGATTTATTCGCTCTTCTGGCAGTCTATGGCATATTCACTATTCTTTGCCAACACCATAATTCAAAGGCGTCAATTCTTCTTTGGTCTTCCTTATTCATTGCCCAGCTTTCACATGCAGATGAGGTGATTGAAAATACCACGGCTTGGGTCAGGAGCACCTTAGTCCTCAAAGTGACATCTTTGCTTTTCAACACTTAAAAGAGGTCTTTTGCAGCAGATTTGCCCAATGCAATGCGTCGTTTGATTTCTTGACTGCTGCTTCCATGGGTGTTGATTGTGGATCCAAGTAAAATGAAATCCTTGACAGCTTCTATCTTTTCTCTGTTTATCATGATGTTGCTTATTAGTCCAGTTGTGAAGACTTTTGTTTCCTTTATGTGTAATGCATACTGAAGGTGGTGGTCTTTGATCTTCATCAGTAAGTGCTTCAAGTCCTCTTCACTTTCAGCAAGCAGTTGTGTCATCTGCATAATGCAGGTTGTTAATGAGTCTTCCTCCAATCCTCATGTTGTGTTCCTCTTCATATAGTCCATCTTCTCGGATTATTTGCTCAGCATACAGATTGAATAACTATGGTGAAAGGATGCAACCCTGACGCACACCTTTGCTGATTTTTAGCCAGCCAGTATTCCCTTGTTCTGTTCAAATGACTGTCTCTTGGTCTGTGTACAGATTGCACATGAGCACAATAAAGTGTTCTGGGATTCCCATTCTTCACAATGTTATTCGTAATTTGTTATAATCCACACAGTTGCATGCCTTTGCATAGGCAATAAAACACAGATAAACATCTTTCTGGTATTCTCTGTGTTCAGCTAGAACCCATCTGACATCAGCAATGATATCCCTCATTTCACGTCCTCTTCTGAATCTGGCTTGAATTTCTGGCAGTTCCCTGTTGATGTACTGCTGTAACCACTTTCGAATTATCTTCAAAATTTTACTTGAGCGTGATATTAATGATATTGTTTGATAATTTCCACATTCTGCTGGATCATCTCTCTGTGAAATGGGCACAAATATGGACTTCTTCCAGTCGGTCGACCAAGTAAATGTCTTCCAAATTTCTTGGCATAGATGAGTGAGCACCTCCAATGCTTATTTCAGTTGGTATTTTGTCAATTCCTGGACCTTTGTTTTTGCCAATGCCTTCAGTACAGCTTGGATTTTTTTCCTTCAACACCATCAGTTCTTGATCACATGCTACCTCTTGAAATGGTTGAATGTCGACCAATTCTTTTTGGTACGGTGACTGTGTATTCCTTTCATCTTCTTTTGATGTTTGCTGTGTTGTTCAATATTTTGCCCATAGAGTCCTTCAATATTGCAACTTGAGTCTTGAATTTTTTCTTCAGTTCTTTCAGCTTGAGAAATGCTGAGTGTGTCCTTCCCTCTTGGTTTTCTAACTGCAGGTCTTTGCACACTTCATTGTAATACTTTGTATTCTCAAGCTGCCCTTTGAAATCTTCTGTTCAGCGCTTTTACTTCATCATTTCTTCCATTTGCTTTAGCTGCTCTACGTTCAAAAGCAAGTTTCAGAGTCTCTTCTGACATCCATTTTGGTCTTTTCTTTCTTTCCTGTTTTTTTAATGACCTTTTGCTTTCTTCGTGTATGATGTCCTTGATGTCATCCCACAACTCATCTGATCTTCTGTCATTAGTGTTCAATGCATCAAATCTATTCTTGAGATGATCTCTAAGTTCAGGTGGGGTATATTCAAGGTGGTACTTTGGCTTTTATGGACTTGTTTTAATTTTCTTCAGCTTTAATTTAACTTGCATATGAACAATTGATGGTCTATTCTGCAGTCAACCCCGGCCTTGTTCTGACTGATGATATTGAGCTTCTCCATCATCTCTTTCCACACATGTAGTCGATTTGATTCCTGTATTTTCCATCTGGTGAGGTCCATGTGTATAGTCAGCATTTGTGTTGTTGAAAAAAGATATTTGCAATGAAGAAGTCACTGGTCTTGCAAAATTCTATCATGCGATCTCCTGTGCTGTTTCTATCACTAAGGCCATATTTTCCAAGTACTGATCTTTCCTCTTTGTTTCCAACTTTTGCATTCCAACCATCAGTAATTATCAATGCATCTTGATTGCATGTTTGATTAATTTCAGACTGCAGAAGTTGATAAAAATCTTCAACTTCTTCATCTTTGGCCTTAGTGGTTGGTGTGTCAATTTAAATAATAGTTGTATTAACTGGTCTTCCTTGTAGGTGTATCAATATTATCCTATCACTGACGGTGTTCTACTTCAGCATAGATCTTGAAGTGTTCTTTTTGACAATGAGTGTGACGTCATTCCTCTTCAATTTGTCATTTCCGGCATAGCAGAACATAATGATTGTCTGAGTCAAAATGGCCAATACCAGTCCATTTTAGCTCAGTAATGCCTAGGATATCAGTCTTTATGTGTTCCTTTTCATTTTTGACAACTTCCAATTTTCCTTGATTCATACTTTGTACATTCAATCTTCCTATTGTTAATGGATATTTGCAGCTATTTCTTCTCGTTTTGAGTCATGGCACATCAGAAAATGAAGGTCCTGAAAGCTTTACTCCATCCATGTCATTAAGGTCAACTCTACTTTGAGGAGGCCGTTCTTCCCCAGTCCTATTTTGAGTGCCTTCCAACCTGAGGGGCTCATGTACTGGCACTATATTAATGTTCAGCTGGTATTCTAATAGTCAGTTGGAAGTGCTAGCCTGGAACTCAGAGAGAGGGTCTACATTTGAGAATTGCCTGAATAGAGATGATATAAAAGCAAAGGGAATCAAAGAGAACACCTAGGGGAGTGTGAGAATAAAAGGAGAATAAAGGAGGAGAGAAGAGGAGAAGAGAGCAAGGGAAAACAAGAAGTGATAACAAGGTCAGTACAAGGGGAGTAGTGGAGATGGAAGCTAGACTGGAAAGAACTGAAAACTAAATGAGAGATGAAAAAATGGAGATTAAATAAGGTCAAGTTTTTAAAGCAAGTTTTTCTGAAAAGGGGAAAAGAATTAAGGAGTGATGCAGAGGAATAAATAAAACCAAGGAATGGAGGTTTGTGCTGATGTTAATCAAGATGAACTTTTTCAAAAAAGGGGCAGATTTGCATGGGAGGAGGGAGATAGTAAAGACTAATAGCATTTGTTCAATGCTTTACAGTTTACTAAGTCTTTCTCATATATGATCCATCTTTTTTCACTAAAAGTCCATGAGATGGGCATGGGAGATACAGTCATTGCTTTCATTTACAGGTGTGGAAGCTACAACTTTAAACATATAAGTGATTCATATCAGTTTCTACAAATAGAGATGGCACAAACTTGAACCCAAGTCTTCAGTTCTGAAACGTTTCCCTACAGCACGGTAATTGGTTTGAGTTTTATTTCTTCTAAATTGAGCATGCTGGACATGATGGAGACAGTAGGATGTAGTGATTTATGCAATTGAATGTGAAGGCAGGAAACCAGAGTTTCCAGGCCTTTTTTTCCTAGGTACTTCTGGGTAGGTTCTAACCGCCAACTTTTCCACTGGTTGTCCAGTGCTTAACCATTTGTATCACCACCCAGGCACCCACAGTGAATGTTTTTGGATAAGGATTTACTGAAGCAGTAATCTAAAGCAGTAACCTATATCATTCATAAAGCTTCCCTTGGCAATATGAAGACCACAGAAATCTCTCCCTCCACTCTATACTCCATGAAGACTTGCTTTATTGGTATTTGATATCCTGATCACCCAATGACTTTATAAGTACTTTGCAGGCAAAGAACAAGTATTACGTTTCTCCATGTACATTGCAATTATTTTCCAATTTCTTTTAAGGTCTAGATATGTGAACAAGGGCTAATACACTCACATGGGTGATCAGAGTTTGAACTTGAACCCTGTACTTCTGCTGACCTTGGATACTCTTGGGAAGGCATTCTGTGGAAGTAGACAAGGAAGAAGAGAATTCCCAGTGGATATGTCATCCTCCAGTATGACCTCAACTCATCCAGCTGTCTTTTTGTTGATGGGAATCCCAGGCCTGGAACACCTGCACATCTGGATCTCTATCCCCTTTTGCTCAGCCTATTCATTGGCTCTGCTGGGCAACTGCACCCTCCTCTTTATCATCCAGGCTGATGCAGCCCTCCATGAGCCCATGTACCTCTTCCTGGCCATGTTGGCAGCTATTGACCTGGTCCTCTCCTCTACAACACTGCCCAAAATGCTTGCCACATTCTGGTTCAGGGATAGGGAGATCAATTTCTATGTCTGCTTGGTTCAGATGTTCTTTCTCCACTCCTTCTCCATCATGGAGTCAGCAGTGCTGCTGGCCATGGTCTTTGATCACTATACGGCCATCTGTAAGCCACTGCACTACACCACGGTGCTGACCAGACACCTAATCACCAGGATTGGCATGGCTGCTGTAGCTCGGGCTGTGACACTAATGACTCCACTCCCCTTTCTGCTCAGACGCTTCCACTATTGCCGGGGCCCAGTGATTGCCCACTGCTACTGTGAGCACATGGCTGTGGTAAGGCTGGCCTTTGGAGACACACGCTTCAACAATATCTATGGCATTGCTGTGGTCCTGATTATTGTGGTGTTGGATTTGCGGTTTGTTATCCTATCTTATATCTTTATCCTTCGGGCAGTTCTACAGCTTGCTTCTCAGGAGGCTCGCTACAAAGCATTCGGGACATGTGTCTCTCACATAGGTGCCATTCTAGCCTTCTATACACCTGTGGTTCTCTCCTCAATCGTGCACCATGTGGCCTGCAGGGCTGCCCCGCATGTCGATATTCTTTCTGTCAATTTCTATCTCCTTTTCCCACACATGGTCAACCCCATCATCTATGGCTTTAAGACCAAGCAGATTCATGATCATGTGCTCAGTCTATTCTGGAGAAAGGATGTATAGATGGATAGCTCTTTTCTGACAAACATGTCCGGTACTACATAGATGCTGGGTTGAGGTGGATGAGAAAATCTAAAGTAGGAAAACTCCATACTTCTCATGTTGGTAATTCTCCAGTATGATAAAGAAAGAGGTCTCATTGCTCACAGAGTCACTAGTTAGGTAAGGCCTGGTTTGTCCGTATCCTCTGGTCTGATAGCAAAAGTTTGACCTCCTGATTCTCATAGACTTCTCACATGATTAAGGAAGACATAAAGAAACTTCTAAAGTGATATACTCTGGGAAAGCATTGTCATCTAGAAGGAAAAAACCTTGGAAATATTGGCTAAGATTAGCTCAAGTAGCATAGATTTTGGTGAGCTCTTCATCTAGGCTGTGAGTGAGGAATTCAACCCCAAATTTTGTAATCCAAAGGCCAACACTGAAATTACCTCTATATCTTTTCTGAAAAGTGGCCTCCAGTCTCTGCCTGAGCATAGCCAGTTTGTTAACCTACCACATCACAAGACTATTGGCTCTACAGTTGGACAGTTCCACTTATATGGAAACTTATTCCTTCCATTAAGTCAGTTCATCTTTGATTTCCTTTCCTGATTTTACCCATGCTCATGGACAGTTTATTCATGGAACACTTAGCAAAGAAGCCCTCTGACATCCCTTTATATTAATGTATAAGATCATGTAACTAACTGTTTACATGCATATGTACTGTGTCTCCAAAACTTCTCAGTAATATCTAGAAAGAATAAATTTATGAATGAAGAGGTAACTATCATCTTTGAGTTATGGACCGGGAAACACACTTCCTTCTTGAAATTGAGACTTATGGAGATAAATAAGAAAATAGACAGTTACAATATGTAGTTGTGGTAGATTATATTATTGTTGGAGCCCTGCTGGCGCAGTGGTTAAGAGCTCGGCTGCAAACTAACACATCGGCAGTTTGAATCCACCAGCCACTCCTTGGAAACCTTCTGGGGCAGTTCTACTCCGTTCAACGGGTTGCTATGCTTTGGAATTGACTTGGCAGCAATGGGTTTGGTTTTTGGTATATTATTATGACAGATATTTATTCTTTTATTCCCCTCCACCCATGGGAGAAGTATTTCCTATCCCCACTGATACTAAACCTGGTCATATCACTTGCTTTGGCCAATGGAATTTTAGTGGTCTTGAAATGTGTCATTGTGAACAGAAACTTTAAAATGTGATTGCATAGCTTGACTCAGTTTGTCTTGGTCTTCCTTCTGCCGCAAGAATTAGAATGTCCTACATCAGGGTTTCTTTTTCAGTATGGACCCAGGATGGAGAAAATACACAGAGCAGATGAGAATTGGATTTACAGCCTGGAGCATAGAACAGATGACTCACAGTGTTAATACAACAGAAGTAAGGATTTGTTGTTTTTGTTGTAGTAAACCACTGAGATTTCGGGATTGCTTGTTTCACAGCATAACTCAGGGAAAGCTGATTGCTGGAGTTGTGAGCTCTCTGTTGCAATCCAACTTAATATAGTTCAAGACTGTGTATTTGAAAAAAAATAAAGAAAATGCATTATTCTTTCTTCTAATCTATCCTACAGATGATACTGGATTTCATTCATGTTTCTGCTTCTCTTTGTCTCCTTCTTATGCAAACTCTCATACTTGAGCATTCTTTTGGTTTGTTCTTTTTCACAGATGCTCTCATATATACTCCTTCTTAAAGGCTTACTTATACTACCATGTTCTTCTATTATTTATTTTTTGACCATATTGTGTCCCCAGTAACAATTATGAAGAACCTGGTAGGCTCTGTAAAAGCATCTCCAGGCCTATGTTGTTGTGCCACAGCTTGCTGCACAGGCACATATGAAGGGTGATGGTTTCAATGAATGTCCGGAGAGTTCCCAGAGACGTCATTCCTACAGCCAGCAATTTCAGTGTATTGGACAGCAAGGAAGAAAGTGGTATGAACAAAGGGCCTTTGACTCTGTTCTCTAAGACCTACCTGCCCTCTGCTTTTTCTCCCCCCATCTATGATTCCAGCTGAAACCAAGAAGTTAAACTGGAGGAGATGCTCCTCTATTGTTAGCCCATATAGAGACAAAAAACTCTTGTTTGTTTTGCCTCAGCAGAGTTGAGACGTTCTGGTGATAGATTAGATTATTGTTCAAAACATTCACTCTCTTCCCTCCCTACCTCGAGGTGGCTGCAGTATACTTTCTCACGTATTGACTATGGGCTTGGTCATGTGCAAAAGTTTGGCTAATGGAGTTTTAGCAGATTTAGTGCAATCAGAGACTTGAAATTTGCTTGTGCAATTGAACTTTCTCTTTTTTAATTCTAACTCTACCATTACCATGAGAACAATGTGCCCTGCTTATCCCACTGGTCCAAGAAAGATGAAAGTCATGTGGAGCAGAGCTGCCTGGACACCTTACAACTTGAAGCAGAGCCTCACAGCCAAGCTCAGCTTCAGTCAGTCAATCCTCAGCCAATCTGCAGATGCTTAAGTGAGCCCAGATGAGATCAGCAGTCATCTCAGCCAATCTCCAGATGCATGAGAAACAAATGATTATCATTGTATGCCACTGGGATTTTGTGGTTATTTGTTCCACAGTAATAGTTGACTAATACAGTCAGAAGTTAAATATTAATCTATCATTATTATTTAGTAAATTGAAAACAGTATAATGTATTAGACAAATGTGTCCAGGCTGCAAAATTTTCTTTTCTCCTATGTTTGGTGCTGGAATGACCTCACCTATGAGGTGATACTCATATACTCCCATAGAGAGTGATTTTGTCCCCCATACAAGTCTAATAGTAGATAAACTCCATTAACATGTAATAAAAATATACATTGTTAGCTTTACTTAAAAATAATAAAAGGAGAGTTATTTCCCATCTTTTATCAACATCGTATACTTAAAAGCAAACACAGATAATACATGCATGCTATTTTTGGACTTGAAGTTTAACACTTACATAAAAAAAAATAAGAGTATGTGTGTGCAGTAATTCAAATGTAGTCATAAAATGTCCAGTCACTCATGTACCCTAGTTTTGCATGGCTTGGAGTCTGAGTTATTTTCAGTGAACACGTTGCTCAACCAGTGCCTGAAAGTGATATCCATTTTAGCTAGGACATCCTCAGTTTGACAATCATTTCATGGGTGTTTTTCTCAGGATAACTGCATTCACTAGCTTAAAAAATACTGCTTTTTATGTGCAACCCTGATACATTGTGACTCAAATATTCTAGGCTGTACCAGGATTTGCAACTTATAGAAGATTCCCAGGTGATTCTAAACTGCAGACATTTTTGTTAACTAATGGCCACCCAGAAGCTATATTGTAGAAGTGTGGTATTGCTAAGATTTTGTAAAATTTACTTTTATCACACTGTATTTTGAGAAAACTGAATACAGATGTTGTGAGAAGTTTGGTAGACATACTCTTGGCTATTATATCCATTTTTTTTCTATTTTACTTATGATGTTCATAATAAGGATAATATTTTAAAGCTTAAAATATTAGCTTTCAATTTCATAAACTATTTTCCTGCCGTATTCTGAATCATAGTTCAATCACTTCTAATGAAAAAAAAACATTGCAATCAATAGAATTCTCAGATGTATAATCATCATGCGTGACTTGATTACTACTGAATTATGACTGATTCTGTAATAAGGCTCGTTTTGTTTCTCTCCTAGATTATTATATCATCTTAGTTTTGACATCTGGGTAGTTGAAGATTTATTTTTTTGTGCTTGTTTTTCAAAAATTTCTAAGATTCTTCAGTTTCTTTTTCTTTTGTAGTAATGTCATTTATAACCTTGTTAGTATTGAAGCTCTTAGTAGTTATGGACTTTACAGATTGTCGCAGTTAATAAAGACAGATTTAAGCTTTGCAGATAAAGGTTCTTATATAGTGTTCCCATCTTTCTATATTGACTTTTTCTGATGCCCTTCTAATTAGTTTTGTGGCTGTTGTTTCCATGTAGAACTATTTTATTGTTACTTTATTTTAATTAGTTCACAGATTTATCCTTTCAGCAGGATAATTCAAATATTTGATCAGGTTATATATCATATTATTAAGGATATAGAGTTCTTTACCCAATAGCAATAATTATAGGGTTCTTTTTATCAGAATTGTCAGCTCTATAATTTGCCCATTAAAACCAGATAAAGGGAAAAATGATATACTGAGAGACAAGTTTATCATGGTTATGTAACCCTAAAATATCTAAAGTGGTCATAAAAAGTTTTAAAAACTAAGGAAGGTCACGAACATGTAAACAAATGAGTGAGGTTATAATCAACATCGAGTAATTGGCCCTGAAATGAATTGTTTATCCCAACACCCAAGGAAAGCAGCCTTGTATATGAAGTTGTAACATGTCCTCTCCCTCTGGATGTTACACCACCAGTCATGGCTCCCTGTTATTTAGGCTGGGCTTTCAACCTCCTCTCATCTTTTCTTCTGGATCTCTCCCCAGGATAGATCGAGATTTTGTTTGGGGTGCAACCTGTACAAAATTGGACGTAAGATTTCTTAAGTGTACGTGATCACGTAAGTAGATAGTAGAGAGCAAAACAAAGACCACAATCAGATTCTGGCATTTCTACCTCCATGGAATAGGACAAAAATGAAGAATGACATCAAAGAAGGATCCTGATCAGTCTCCTTCCTAAAAGCTTAGTGTTAAAGTTAAAAAAAAAAAAAAAAAAAAAAAAGACTTAAAAGCAGGGGTGGTCATCAGATAACCTGAGGAAATGTGGAATTGGATAAAGGTTCAAGAAGTCAGTGAAACTGATAGATAGGTTATCTGTCCATAAACAGTTTAGAGACAGAAGTCTGAATTCAAACTATTGAAGGGGACAAAATTATGCATATATTGTATCTTAAGATCCCAAAGCTCCTAACTGTCTAAAAAGAATAGTCTACAAAATGTTCTCATTGTTAGGTGCCGTCCAGTTGGTTCCGACTCATAGCGACCCTGTGTACAACAGAAT